CTGCCATGAAGAGGCCAGCTTCTAAGAAAACCCTAGCCAAAGCAGAGCCCAAGCAAAAGGCCATTGTGAAGAAGAATGCTGAGGAAGCGAAGCATGTCACGCCAGCTTTCCTCAAAGGAATCTATGGATGTGTGAGATGCCGTGGCAGTGTGAGTGGCTGTGACAAGTGCCAGTCTCCCTACTTTGGGGGGACTCAGTCTCAGTTCAAGACAGGAATACAACAACTGGTAACAAGAAAGGCAGCAGGGGAACAAAAGGAAGTGTAAATATTTCCTTGGTCAGACAAAAGATCGTGGGCTGCCTTGTGGTAAATAACCATGCAAACACAGCAATGGTAAATCATACAGGCAGTGGGGGAAAACAGAAACGCTTAGGCTTTCTCTTGACATACTTATCTAGACATATTTTCCAGCATGAAAGTAAGTGACCACTAACTTGCAGTGCTGCCCTTGGTTCTGCTTGTTGTTTTCAGTTTTGGCTTCAAGAGCTATCATTTGAAATCCGTTTGCCTGCAAGGGCTTTTTTGTTTGAATATGTTTGAATCAGTAGCACAGCATTGTGGGCACAGCTTTCTGCAAGGCTACTGCATGAAGCAAGGCCTGGCCCAAGGCAATGTGTGCCAAATCTGCAAATGACATATTTGGAGGCCATGTTAGCAGCAGGTTCCGCAGCAGGCCATGGAACACTAGTTTTTGCCTTTCACACAGTCATACTCCAACATTGTCCAAGATTACTTTTATCACCTTTCTGCAAAGAAATGCTTCCAGCCAGCCATGCCAGACTTTCCAAAATTGCAAAGTTTTAAACAGAGAATCCCATTTTGCAGCCAGTCAGCCCCGGAAGCAATATTGACTTTGGCAGCCCAGGAAGGCATTCCTGCTAGTCACAAAAGGAAACAAATCAGAGAGTTTGTTGAGCAGGTCATTGCAGGCCTTCAGCTATGATTTTGGGAGAGGACCCTGTGGAATTGGCATTTGCCAACATCTTTAACTATTTGGCTGGTGCTTATGCAGCTGGTGGCTGCTTTGCGGATTATTTTGATAAGGTACATGACAACAACCCTGGTTCCTTCAACAACCCTTGGTCTTGCATTCTTTATGTAGATGAACTGCACCCTGGCAACCAATTGGCAGGGAATTCTAGGAATACATGGGCAATTTACTGTTCATCTGCACAGTTTGGGGCCACGCTGTCAAATTCTGAAAGTTGGTTGACATTGCTCGGGAAGAGGAGTGAGCAAGTCTCACAGCTGGCAGCCAGCATTTGCCAATGTTTCAGGTTGATCCTGGAGCACATGTTTGACAACAAATATGCTCATCCTCATTCTGAGGTACTTTTACAGGGAGGTCTTAAAAGACTGAAACTCTCTGTTGGATTTTGCAACAGACCAAGAAATCCTGTCCTCGTGGGCAAGGATGCAAGAGTGCAACAAAACCGAGTTAAGAAGGTGGAGCCAGGCTTCTGGGGTTGATTATTCCCAGCATTCACTCTTGCTGAGTGACAAGCTGAAGTCCCAGAACCTTCTGAGACCAATCACCCAATACATGCATGATTATATGCATGGGCTCTGCCCAAAGGGTGTGCTGAACTAGGTATTTGTTTTTGTGGATCCAACCGCTTGCTTCCAGTGGTGTGGCTGAGATTTGGAAGGCACATGGCTTTGTGCAACTTTGGGCCCAGCCTGCCATTCACAAATGCAATTTGAAAAGGCTATTTCTGCCCAAAGCAGTGGAAGGCCACAAAAAAGCTGGGAAGATCAGATGCATCCTCAGAGATTCTGGGTCTGTACCAGGTGCTGGCACACTATGTTCAAATTTGTTGCTTGCCTAATGGCATTTGTCTTCTGGGGTCAACTTGCTCTTTGGCTTGGTGCAAAGTTTTGGACTATCACCTATCCATCCCTGATTTGGAAAAGCCTGACTACAAGCAATTGCTTTCATTTGTTGAAGCAGCATTGGAGGCAACTGTTGCAGCTGACTGGTCGGAAGAATTCGAGCCAAAGATGCACTGGTCACTTCATATTATAGTCAAAGTCTCCAGAGGCATGGCCAATTACCTGCATGCTGGACCATGGAAGGGAAGCACAAAGGCACTAGAAAACATGGGAATGTCTTGTGCAACACTACCTATTGGGAAACTTCTCTGAGGAAGTCTGTCATTGCAGGGCACATCTATACATTGGGTGAAGAGTCAAGACTGTTTAGAGAAGGCACCTGCCTACAAAATGCAAAGGGGGCCCCACAAAGAAGATGACGGCATTCCTATGCAATGCTGGCGTGGTTCCTGTGGGAATGCCTTGCATGCAGAGCTCTCGTTGTAAACTTTTTTCTGGGGCAACAATTACTTCTGGTGATGTTGTCTGTTTGCACAATGTGGATGGAGGCTCACCAGCTGTCAATGCAGCTCAAGAGCATTGCTTTTTGAAAGTCCCATGTGGTGATGTGGCCCTTGTCGAAAAATATTTGTTCCTGGAAATTTCAAACAAACATCCGGGTGTTGCTTCTTTACAAGAAATCTCGTGTGCTGTCACTTACAATGCTGCCAAAGGCAGGGTGACATGCCTCACCCCTGCATTCTTGCAACTTTGAAGGGACATGCAATTTCCATCCACAGCAAATGTCTTTGGAAAACAAGCTTCGGTGGTATGCCCAACAGCCGCAACGTTTTATGTTTACTAATCTTTCTGAAGCCTGCTGCCAAGCCAAGCGCTGGAAACACTTCAGCTCGGTTTCCGTGAGTTCAATGGCCACAAATCCTGTTGAACTTGACCTGGCTCTGCACCAAAGCCTCCCAGACCTTCTCCGGAACCCTGTTGAACCTGACCTGGCTCTGCACCAAAGCCTCCCGGAACCTTCTCCGGAACCTTCACCAGAACCCTGTTGAACCTAACCTGGCTCTGCTCCAAAGCCTCCCGGGACCTTCTCCGGAACCCCGGAGCCCTGTTGAGCCTGACCTGGCTCTGCACCAAAGCCTCCCGGAACTTTATCCGGAACCCTGTTGAACCTACCAAAAGGCTCCGGAGGATTAAAAGGATTAAAAGGATCAAATCATTTAATCCTTTTAAACCGTTTAATCCTTTTGATCCTTTTAATCCTCCAGACCTCCCAGAATCCCAAGAAAAGCCCAGCAATTTAATTCTTTAAATCCTTTTAATCCTTTTGGACCGGGAATTCCGGACCCCCTGAAGGATTAAAAGGATTAAAAGGATTAAACGGATTAAATCATTTAACCCTTCTAATCCTTTTAATCCCCTAAAGGGCTCTGGAGGATTAAAAGGATTAAACGGATTAAACCATTTAATCCTTTTAATCCTTTTAATCCTCCA